AGTGTTGGTATTTTTGGCAATTTCAAATATTTCTATATATGTGTGTATAAAAGGACTTTTTCAATATTACAAAAACTATACAGATCGAGTTAATGGAAATATTGTTCAATTTGAAAAATTAACGAATAAATATATAATAGTTATATTTGTAAAAATAAATTATGAATTATCGAGAATAATATTTTTTGAAAAATAATTTCCACAAAATTACTCATTTCTAGAAAATAATCTAAAATTTACTAATGTTTAGTTGAAGGCCAAAAAACTATCTTTTTTTTTCTTTGGTTAAAAGTTAAGAAATTATAATTTTTCTATTATTATTATTATTATTATTATTATTATTATTACCGCCACCACTGTCACCATTTTCTATCTAATGAATATATAATAATAATAATAATAATAATAATAATAATAATAATAATAATAATAAATAAATAAATATATAAATAAAAATGGTGGCGGTGGTGGTGGTAATAATAATAATAATAATAATAATAAATAAATAAATATAATAATAATAATGGTGGCGGCGGCGATAATAATAATAATAACAACAACAACAACAACAACAACAACAACAACAACAACAACAACAACAATAACAACAACAACAAGTGGCTGTGTTGGCGGTGGTTGTGTGGTGATAGTGGTGGTTGTGGTGGCGGTGGTTGTGTGGTGGTGATTGTGGTGGTAATAATAATTCGGAAACTAGCTTGAAAACATATGAAAGGGAAATATATAAGAAATTAAAGAATTTGAAAAATGTCTTCCTACTAAAAATTTAGGAAGACATTTTCTGTCAAATTGAGAATTTTTTCTTTGACCAAAATGAATATTTTTTTTTGACTTTGTTTTCTTTGAATACCCAAACACGAGAACATCCAGAAAATGACTTCCGAAATTTATTTTTTGGATTTCCAAACGGACCATACCCTTAATGTGAAAACATTTCCCATCTATATGGCTAGTCTTTTCGGATGGCCTCTACCCTTGGGATTGAATATCTTGCAATCCACATTGACTCTACGAGAAATTTTATTTTGATGCTTAAACTTGAGATATTCACTGTTGGAAATTATGGAATTTTCAACCACCTTAAAGTGATCTTAAATCAAGTCGAAAGTTAAAAATGGTCGGAAATAGCAATAAAGGTTTTTCCAGATACCAAAAGTGATCGGAACAAGGCTTTCGACTTGATTTATGATCACTTTTAGGTGATCGGAAATTCTATAATTTATAGCAGTGATTCTCTCATCTATTGAACTAACTAGCTTTTGGGATTGACTATCGTTCTCTTGGGTTTAATTTGAGTTCGTAGATATCATTGGTACTGTCATTAGACCGGTCCATATTAAACACAAAAAAAAAATAGTGCTTGATAAGGTGTAAAGAAAATTGAGATGAGTTCGGAAGGGATAGACTATTAGGATGTATGGAGAGCTTTAATGAAGAAGAAGAAAGAAGCTGTTCTTGTATTCAATCGAATGAAAAATCTCGTTACATTTGCACTGCTACTGCCTTCTATATACTTCAAGGATAAACAGAAAGAAGAAGAGATAAAAAAGGAGGGAAAGTTGGTTGGAGTTAGTTGTTGACTTCTTGATCTTCATTCCCTTTTGACTTGCCACTTGCATCTGTTAATATCCCCCCACAAGCTGCAGTATACATATTATGTAGACAAAGCTTGGATATGAAGTTGTAAAAGGTTGCTGCTGTATGAGGTTTTGTAAACACATCAGCAAGCTGATTGGTGGTAGTAACATGAAGTAATCTCAACACTCCCTTTTGCAGCTTTTCCCTTATTAGATGGCAGTCAATCTCAATATGTTTGGTTCTTTCATGAAACACAGGGTTTTCAGCAATGGCAATTGCTGATTTGCTATCACAATACATCATAGCTATAGGATTCTCAGTTATTCCCAGATCTTTTAGCAGATAGATGAGCCATTGAATTTCACAAGCAACTGTGCCAAGTGCCCTATACTCAGCTTCAGAGGAGCTTCTTGAAATGGTGACTTGTTTCTTTGATTTCCAGGATACCAAGGAGTTACCAAGAAATGTGCAGAACCCTGTGATGGATCTCCTTGTGTCTGGACATGCTGCCCAATCAGAATCACTAAAGGCTTTGAGCTACAATGAAGATTTTGCTGAGAAGAAAAGACCTTGGCTGGGAGCTGCCTTCAAGTATCTTAACACCCTGTGTGCAGCCTGCATATGTATGTCAGTAGGGCAGTCTAGGAACTGAGACAATTGTTGAGTAGCATAGCTTATGTCAGGCCTAGTGATTGTGAGATATAGAAGTTTTCCTATTAGTCTTCTGTATTGAGAGCATCCTGCATAATGTTCCCACTGGTTTTACTAAACTTGATAGATGTAACCATGGGTGTAGCAGCAGGCTTACAGTGTAAAAAATCTGTCTCTTCAAGTAATTCCATAGTGTATTTCCTCTGATTCATTGAAATTCCTTTGCAGCTTCTAGCAACTTCTAAGCCCAGAAAAAATCTTAAGGGGCCTAGATCCTTAATATGAAAAATGTCATTTAGATGCTTCTTGATCTGATTCACTTGACCTTGGTTAGGACTGGCAATGACCACATCATCAACATAGACAAGTAGAGCCACAAAATCATCACCTCTACCTCTGGTGAATAAGGAAGAATCAGAAACTGCTTGTTGAAAACCCATGTTCAACAATTCATGAGAAAGCTTGATATTCCACTGTCTACTTGCTTGTTTGAGGCCATATAGGGACTTCACTAACTTTCAAACTTGGCCTGGCTTGTTTGAAGTAATGCCAGGGGGTAATCTCATGTAAACTTCTTCATTTAGTTCTCCATGTAGGAAGGCATTGTTTACATCCAATTGGTGTAAACCCCATCCTTTGATGGCTGAAACAGCAAGCAACATCCTGACTGTTGTGATCTTAGCAACTGGACTAAAGGTGTCCAAATAATCAAGTCCAGGTGTCTGAGTGTAACCTTTTGCTACAAGTCTAGCCTTGTGTCTCTCAATTGTCCCATCAGCTTTAAGTTTGGTTTTATAGACCCATTTGCATCTTATTGCCTGTTTGTTGGGGGGAAGGTCTGTGATGATCCATGTATTATTGGCTTGCAAGGCTTTGAACTCAGCCTCCATAGCTTGTCTCCAACACTCCTTCTTGATAGCTTCATTATAGGTTTTTGGCTCCTTTGCATCTAAAATATTTACTGCAAAAGCTCTGTAAGCATCAGATAGATTCTCATAAGATAAGAATTTTGAAATATCATGTGGAGATGTCCTTTTTGCAGTAACATTATGGCAGTTGTAGGCATCCAGATAACCTGGTGTTACCTTCCTTCTGGTTGACCTTCTTAAAGGTGCATCCTCTGGAACTGTTTCAGTGTCTATAGCTTCATCCATCTGTACTGGTTCCATGGATTGAACCATATGTGGGACTTGTTCATGGATAACTTGAGGAATGTGCCATTCATTATCCATATATGGCATATTTTCAGAGTTTGGTAGTACTAAGCTGTCAGAACTTGGCTCATGTGGCTGCTTGAAGGGAAACATGTCTTCATAGAAGTGAACATCCCTGGAAATAAAGACTTCTTTTGTCTTGATATCAAACAACTTATATCCTTTGATTCCATTTGCAAACCCTATGAAAATACATTCCCTTGCCCTTGGAGAAAACTTGTTTCTTTGGCAGCTAGGAATAATGGCAAAGGTTAGACATCCAAACACTCTAAGGTGTTGATATTGTGGTGCCTTATTGAAGAGGATTTGATAAGGAATTTGATCATTCAATGCTGAGGTTGGCAGTCTATTCATTAGATAGACCGCATGAAGAATGCAGTCCCCCCAGAATTCTTTAGGCAGATTGGCTTGAAACTTTAAGGCTCTAGCTATGGACAAGATATGACCATGCTCTCTTTCCACAATGTTGTTTTGTTGGGGAGTATACACACAAGATGTTTGATGTATGATACCTCTCTGCTGATAAAAATCTGTCATCAAGAACTCCTTTCCATTGTCAGACCTTATACATTTAATGGTTTTCCCAAATTGTGTTTTGATTAGCTCATACAATGTCAACATATGCTGCTTAACCTCACTCTTGTTCCTCATGAGATATATCCAGGTGGCTCTACTGTGGTCATCTACCAATGTTAAGAAATATTGATGACCATAGACTGTTGGCACATGGTATGGTCCCCAGACATCAACATGTATGAGATCTAAGCAATCAATTGAAAGAGTGGAACTAGAATTGAAAGGAAGCCTTCTTTGTTTAGCTAGGTGACAACAATCACATGCACTAGGCTTATCATTACAGATTTTGCTGTCTAAGGTATGAAGAACCTTTATTTTGTCTTCTGAAGCATGGCCTAGTCTAGCATGCCAAAAACTACAAGCATTAGCAGCATGTTTACAGTTATTAAAAACAGGAAAAATCAATTGGTAGAGTCCTTTCCTTAGCTCAGCCATGCCAATCATCTTCCCAAGGTGCTGATCCTGTATAACACAGTGATTAGAGTGGAACAATATGCTGCAATTTGATTTTCTTGTGAGTTCTCCCAAGGAGATCAGGTTGTACTGAAAGATTGGTACACATAGGACATTCTGGAGGATTAATTCAGCAGATAATTGGATGTTCCCAATATGAGACACCTGAGCCTGGTGTCCATTAGACAAATCTACAAATATACCATGCACTTTCTTGGATGTTTGGAGCATGTATTCATTGCACACAATATGGTGTGTGGCACTACTATCAAGAATCCATAATGGCTCAGGAGAATTAACCAAATCAGAATTGACTTTCTTACCTTCTAGATTTGCATCAGGTATGAAATTAGCTGATATGGTATTGATCTGAGGGTTGATGGTAAGAGGAGTAGCCTGGTTACTCCTAAATCTTTGTTGTTGCTGCATGAAGTCCAGAAACCTCCTATAATCATCCTCAGTCACAGCAGAAATCCCAGGGCCAGTTTCCAATGGCTCTTGTGAAGAGGACTAGACTTGGTTGGCAGAACCCATTCCTTTGCTTCTTGGCTTCCATCCAGGTGGGTAGCCATGTTTCTTGTAGCATTTGTCAATTGTGTGCCCTGTGTATCCACAATAGCTACACATAGGTTTTAGCTTCTGATTTGGATAGAATTTTCTGTTGTTGCCAGAGTTTACCAAGAAGGCATTTGTTCCAGTTATGTTTTCTGTCAAGGTGTTTGGAATGGCATCTATTTGTCTTTCTTGCTGAGAGACCATTGCAAAGGCTTCTCCAACATCAGGGAGAGGCTTCATCAACATAATTTGCCTCTTGGTGTAAGCAAAGTTCTCATTCAATCCAATCAAAAAGGCAGTTAACATAACACTCTCAATATGAGTTCTAATTTTTTCAGACAAATCAGCTCCACATTTACAACTGGGAATGCAATCACAAGAAGGAATTGGCCTTAACACAGCCAACTCATCCCATAACAGCTTTAACTGTGTAAAATATTCATTCACAAAGGTGTTACCTTGCTTCGTTTGGTGAATCTCAGCCTGGATCTCTGCTATTCTGAAGATATCCTGTTGACTGAACCGTTTCTTGAGGTCCTTCCACACTCCTTCTGCAGTGTTAATCCATAAAACACTTCGAGCAATGGTGGGAGAAACGGCCCACAGAATCCATGAGAGAACCATGGTATTGCATTGATCCCAATAAAAGTGTTTGGGATCATTCTGATTAGGGATCACCATTGATCCGTTCACAAAAGCAAGCTTGTTTTTCGATTTCAATGCCATCTCCATTGCCCTAACCCAGGCATGGTAGTTTGACCTTCCTTCCAGATGTACAGTCACCAGCTGTTGGGACGGACTCTCATTGGGATGAAGGCTGAAAGGATTCACTCGATCATTCGGATCAAAGATCGCCGGAGTTGAAGCTGCAGCAGTTGCCGGAATAGGATTTGCAGCAGCGGTTGAGGACGAACCAGTCATGTTTGCAGCAGGTGGTCTCCAAGCCATGTTTCAAAGCTCTGATACCATATTAGGAAGTATGGAGAGCTTTAATGAAGAAGAAGAAAGAAGCTGTTCTTGTATTCAATCGAATGAAAAATCTCGTTACATTTGCACTGCTACTGCCTTCTATATACTTCAAGGATAAACAGAAAGAAGAAGAGGTAAAAAAGGAGGGAAAGTTGGTTGGAGTTAGTTGTTGACTTCTTGATCTTCATTCCCTTTTGACTTGCCACTTCCATCTGTTAAAATAGACAAAACTTAAACTTAAGGATTTTTTACCAATCGTTATACCCTACACCACGGCGCACATAGCATTGTGCGCCGTGCGCCTCCCAAAACGACGTCGTTTTGGGGTCGTTTTGGGAAGCGCGGTAGGAAGTTGCTGGGATTATGTGTATTTGTTCACACAGTTATGTGTATTTGTTCATACAGTTATGTGTATTGGTTCATACAGTTATGTACATTTTTTATACAATTATGTACATTCTTTTTATACAATTATGTACATCCGAATCAGAAAATTTGTGTGTATTATGTTAATAGTTGATGTGTATTATGTTAAAAGTTTATGTTTATTATGTATTATGTTAGATTATGTGTATTATATTTTAAAAAGAGTATGTATATTTTGTTATATAATTATGTACATTCATGTATACAGTTATGTGTATTCTAGTATAACATTATGTACATTCTTGAACAACGGGTTTTTTTTAAAGAAAAAACTACTGCCATTCACTGGGGCGGGAAATTAAAAAAAAAAAATTAAAACGACGTCGTTTTGCATCTAGGCGCATAGTGCAACGCGCGCCGTGGTGTAGGATATAAATTGCCATTTTTTACATATTAGACCAGTCTTTTACGATGATTCCCTTTACCTAGACTTAATTTGTTCTCATGTAGTGGATCTTGTTTGTAGAAATCTTTGGAGACATCCTTACCCCAAAAGGAATGTAAATCATGGTGACTCAATGGGTTAATAAGCAAGGCCAAATGCCAAGGTTCGAGCCTTGATCTCTTACCCCAAATACTACCCACTAAATCATTGAGTTAACTAGCTAAGCCCGTGTGGGTTCTTTGGAGGCATCATTGTATTTATATAATGTGGGTTTTGTTACATTGTCAATTTTTTTAGACATACATAATTAAAGTTCAATTATATATATATATATATATATATATATATATATATATATATATATATATATGTGTGTGTGTGTGTGTGTGTGTGTGTGTGTGTGTGTGTGTGTGTGTGTGGCAATTTTATCAATTAAGTTTAATTTATTTCAAGTTTTACTTAACTTACCTTCTCTTATAGAATCAAAGCTATTCAATCTGACTTAGCTCAAAGAGTGAATATAGTACGTAAACATCACACATTGTTTACTACCTTAGCCATTAGTCATCAACGATCTTTTAATGGGTGAGTAAAGAGACGACATTGTGATATTGTTGAGGCTGGTTTATAACTCTCATAGCATGCACATTATGAGAAATAGTTACATATGGTGCTTGTTCAAGCGCAGAAGGAGTAAAAAAGAGTGAAAAGAATAGGTATTGTAGTACTTAAACTTAAGAGATTTTTTAGTCTATTTAATTATATATTCTTTATATCTCTACCAAAAAAAATATTATATATTCTTTATGAATGAATGTTTTTCTTAAACTTGAGTAGCTATAGTATCTCAAAATTTTCATGATTTCTTTTTTCAAATCTAATCATTTCAATTAAAATTAAAATATTAGTAATATAATAATAATGCAGCTGTAACTAACATGGTTAAGTGTAAAGTCTCACTTATCTAGCTAGCATGAGAGATGCTGAATTGGCGCACATTCATATTAATCTATTATGTCTAAGATCTAGATATGTTCGTTTCTTTGATTTTTTTTTTTAAATAATATTCTTCTCAAAACATCACGTCCTATGTTCAAGATTACAACTCTTAGCCTTTAGGGTTGGGGTTCAACCTTTTGGAAGAAGATTACAACTCTTAGCAACCCAATAATTTGTTAAATATATTTGTCTGCACGGGTTTAGCTCAATGGTTCAGTGAGCAGTATTTAGGAGAAGAGATCAAGGTTTGAACCTCGGCAACGGTAATGTAGGGATTATGTTCAAAGTGGATAGATCCCTTGTGCGCACCGACATTTGGCCCTGTCTGTTGAACTATTGAGTCACCGTGAAGCGTGATTTACATCCTCTCAAATGCTCTGTCGTGCCAGATTGGAGATAAGATCCCAAAAATAATTTTCTTCAACTTCAACATTATTATTATTATTATTATTATTATTATTATTATTATTATTATTATTATTATATAGTTGAATGGAAGATTCACGGGCAGAATTAGAATGTACCATGGGCTCCACTCAAAGAATAAAATTAATGCAAGCAAGTGTGCCGAAAATCGGCCAGTATTCCTGTCCCAAAATTTGTCTTTATTTCTCTTAATTTTCTTACATTCACATTAACTGAAATTATTTTAGTATTTGTTTCCACCTAATTACTCGGATTTTTTTTAATATAAAATAAATTCATGTTTAATTTGAGGTTGTAGATTTTATTCCGGAATTGTGGACTGGAAAAAAGATTGGAAGAAGTGGAATATAGAGTGTGCAAAGTTGGACAAAGTGCAACTTCATAGGTTCAATCTTCATCAAGGATTAATTCCGAAGCACAATGAAAATGAATCTTATTACAAAAGGATGTGTGTGGCCTATTTAATTTGTGTTCTTGGTTGAGGTTGGCGGTTCAAATTTCATAAAAATATCTTTTATAAGGCTTGAATTGGTTTGAAATTGAGAGATTTCAATTCAATCTTCATCACTAAGGCAAAATCCATTGATAAATTTGTGAATTGTCAGATCCATTAACACTTACTATTACACGAAAAATTATTACTTTAATTTGGAGCTCAATTTCTATGCCAGGATCTATGCCTCAACCTCATGCTTTTAATGGGTTTATTCATACTCATGATCTGTTTTGATACCAATTGTTAGAATCAAATATTTATTACCATAGCAAAATTATAATTAATAGTGAAGGTGGAGCTTTATTTTGCGTAGCTTTCAGCGCCATATTTGTATGGCACGATGCTGGATTTAGTCATTCAAACCTCCGCCCTAATTTTGTATATAAATATATAGTTTGGTTAGTGTTGGTCCCGATAGAATGAAATGAGAGTCTAGAGGGGGGGGGGGGGGGGGGTGAATAGACTCTTTTTGTGAAAAGCCCTAATCGTCACCTTTCGGTGTCTTGGCGCAGCGGATAAGAAAGATTCATTTTAAATACTTTGCACGAGTTTTCTTAATTAGACAAACTTTCGGTAACGATGATAAATGGAATGATATGAATGCAAAAAAGAAAAGCGTAAGTAAAGAGATAGAAGGGACACGAGATTTTATAGTGGTTCGGCTAATGTTGCCTACTCCACTCTTGTTCCACAACTGTTGGAAGGATTTCACTATCACTCTTAGTACAATTACACAAAGACTTCCTTGATCACTAAGCCGGACAGCCTTCGTAGGTTTTTCAACTCCTCGAGTTTACTCCGCCTCTATCAACTTCTTCTCCTAAGTTGAGGTTGGTAGAAAATGATTTCTTGAATTCTCCAACTATGAGGTCTTGACTCTAAGATATGATTGCTTCAAACAGATGGCAAGACTTCCTTTGAGGTGTAAGAAAATGATCAATAGTCTTCTTCAAGTAACTTAGCACCTCAAAACTTGTTCACAAAAGCTTTTAGTAAATTGTAAGCGTTTCAAGTGCTTTTGTAAATGAGTAAGTCGAGTGAGAATGAACCAGCACCTTCTTAGTTGATGAAGGTGGGTTTATATAGGTGATGAAAATTCATCCGTTGGAGGGAGATGAAATTTTCGAACCTTTTAACCATCGGACAAGGACCGGGGAGCTTCATGCATTAAATGCTCCATTAATGAGGTTGTACCATGTAGCCGTTGGAGGTATGGAAAGCATTAGGTTTTGTCCTATAGCTTCAGAAGATGGTACATCTTCATTTAATGTTTCTTGAAAAGTGTGTCCCTTAAGGTGAGGTCCTTATTGTCCTAGGATGTTGTCAAAATGGACAGTTAGAACATTCTTCTCGTTGTTGAAGAGAAGCAATTTTTGATACAGATCGTCTTCATAAAGAACTGTCTTTTCGTGTTTGTTGACAACTCCTTCTTGACTCTAGTTGATGTTCTTCATGTCTCGTGTCTTCTTTCGCCTTAGGGACCCTAACATCTAATCATAACTCATTTTCGTGTGTTTGTCTAGCTTAACACGAATTACATAAGAGTTATCGCAACTCTCGTCTAGGACAAAAGCAGCGATTGAAAAAGCTAAAGGTTAGGGGTCTACTTTTCTACATTACATTGGTATCATCAAAATCCTAATACAATGTTCCTAACAATTTCCCCCTTTTTGATGATGAAGACAGCCATACTTGAGAGTTTATAAGTCTTTTTCTAGATTAAAGCGTTAAAAGGCGAGACAAGGACAAGTAACTCAGACAAGTGACACGAGATGTGTAACAATGAGAGTTTCATATAAAAAGATGTGATCATTACAAAAACTAATTTATGAAGAGAAACAGAACGAAAGTTAACTTACATTTCTAAGAGCTTTGATTTCTGTTGTTCAGCTTCCTTGAGTTTTTGGTCATCTCATTCCTTTTGTTGCTTTAGCATCCTGTTAAAGTCAATTTTGTCATTGATTTTTGCTCTGAAGACTTTAATGGGATTAGACCTGACAAGCTCTTCATGTTCTCCTTTGATATTTAGGCCAGTGTAATTGTTGTAGGCTTCCCGAATGTTGCTTCCTTCAACAATACCATACTTCCACCACGAGATCAGTTCAAACGAAATCATGCCTTCTTGGTAGCTCTTTCCTGATTCCTTGTGTACTTTGAAGGCTGCATTGTGAATGACATTCTGTGGGGAGTCTTTGGTTACACTAGAAAGGTTTTCAATGAGATTCCTGATCCTTTCTCTTTCCATTG